AGATAGATACACACAAACCCGTTACAATGGTCCACAACGGTGGAGGAAGCGGTTCGAAGGAAGTGTCTCAGTCCATATAGAGTCTCATCGCGGTGGTCCTCTGCTGAGAGAGAAAGGAGATAGATACACACAAACCCGTTACAATGGTCCACAACGGTGGAGGAAGCGGTTCGAAGGAAGTGTCTCAGTCCATATAGAGTCTCATCGCGGTGGTCCTCTGCTGAGAGAGAAAGGAGATAGATACACACAAACCCGTTACAATGGTCCACAACGGTGGAGGAAGCGGTTCGAAGGAAGTGTCTCAGTCCATATAGAGTCTCATCGCGGTGGTCCTCTTTGGGTGGAGCGGGGTCTTCCATGGTTGAAGAATCCTCTCAGAAGTGAAGGTCCATCTGGTACAGAGGGAAATATTCTAACCAAGATCATACAAAAACTGCTGTGACTCATTATAAGACTTCCTGAGTTCAGTTGCACTCACCTCATCTTAACTGCATAATTAGTGCTATATTGCACTTTTATAGCAGGGCATTTCACTTGCTGTGCTGCAGCAAGCCTTGCCATGCACTGAGGAGCAAGCAGGTAGGCAAATGTTTGTATCCCTGTATGCAGACAGTGAAACAGGGAGGTTATGTGGCTCACCTAAGACAATTTAGAAAACTTGCATCAGAGCTGAGGGTACAAATGGACAAGTCTCTGGCTTCCCAATTCTGAGCCTACCCACAGAAATCTTCTTCCTCTCCAGAGACAGATAAAAATGATGATTTGAGATGCAGGGGTGGTCACAGCAACTAGGGTCATTAAGCCCGAAAAAGAGATGAATTAGGTAATTAGTATGGAAGAAGGTACAATCTAGTGACAGATGACATTTCTCCCTTCCAAATCACTCTGGCATTCAGAGGCAAGGGAAGGGCACAAAAGGTTACCAGATAAAATTAGTAGCAGGTGAGTCCATATCAGGTGAAAATGCTTCTCCATTCAGCCTCTAATGAGCCTCTGAATTTCAGGGCCTCTGGAAGCCAGAGAGTTCAGAGCTGGAGCTTTAAAAAAAATGATTTAAAAATCATTTCAGACTAGTAACAACAGTCATGGGGTTACTCATAAAGAAAGGGATGAAGCAGGTTCATCTTTCACAGCCAGGCTAAAAGATAAGGCAGAAGGATTTTCTCCCAGTCAGTCAGTATATTTGGTTTTCCTCTGATGTACAAAATGCTGACCACTTCCACAATACATCCCAAACAGGATCACCCAACTGGTTTGTCCTAGAGCAGTTATCACATATTTATGTTCCTCATCAAAACATGAGCCTGAAACTGGATGGCAATGTCAAAACCCAGCACGGATGCTACATTTGGAGGTAGAGGGGACGGATCAGGGAGAAACAGAGCATGCATCAACATAACAAAGCACCTTTTAAACTGGCTGCTGCTGGCATGCAAACTGGGAATCCCCTAGCACAGCAGTATGACACTGCTTGGTAGGGGAGGCACTTTGTAGATTTGGTCTAGCATACTTGGTATAATGCGTGACCCATACGAGCATTATACTGCTCTACACGTGCTGTGCTGCACCCACAAATGACCTGTACCCACTTGGAATCTCAGCTATTTTTTGTGAGTAGCTTAATTTATGAACGCCACTATTTGCTTCAAAAAAATGTAGCTCCTCCTTAACCCCAGTGTGGAAAATAACCCCACGCAGAAGCCCAGCACAAGGCCTGTCCATCATTTACTTCCCACCCAGGTGCTGAAAGTTTAACTATGGGATTTCTGCTAGGTCTCTGCACAGGGGAGAATATCACCCACAGCCTTCTGTTCCACTCACAGGAGAAGAATGACAGTAAAAAAGATCTTCACAGTGCAGCTTTTCATATTAATCCGAGTGAATCACTGGCAGAGCAAATACATCTCAGGGTTAAAACAAAAAACAAAAAACCCAAATGCTTTGCAAGCCCAGTGAATGCCACAGTTGTGGGTGTGTGCAGCAGGAGAACATGTACCAACAAGGGGTAAAGGAAGCTATAGAAAATGCCTTGCATCCAATAAATCAAAAAGGATAAGGAGCTGCACCTATTGGCAGCAGAACCTGAAAGGTGATTTGGCGAGTTCTCACCACACGCTGCCACGAGATGATCTTGGAAAGAAACATTCTTGTGGAGCCTCCTGCTCATGGCCAAACTTGATGGAAAGAGATGTGCACAGAAGGAAATGCAGGATTCAGAGAAAGATGGGAGAGGTTCCAAATCAAGTTGGAAACTGGGACATATCTGGCTGTAATACCGGTTCCTTCAGAAAAGGTAGTTTCCCAGGATTCTGTTTCTTTCTTTTTTAATTGAACAACAATTAAAAAAAAAAAATATCAAATAACACCCAAACCACAACACTGATAAAGCTATGATTTTCAAAAGCAACTACTGTTCTGAATTATTCAAATATTGACTGTTGGCCTTGAGGATACTTATAAAGGATTATATTTCTCAGAGGCGGCATTTTGCACCTTCTGAAAGAGCAGGTTTCTCTCACAGAGAAACAGCGCTGAAAGAGACCTCAAGAGGTCATCTAGTCCAACTTTGCCCTAGGTAGGATCAGCCCCTATCCAAACCATCTTGTACAAATCCACTGTCTACCTCTTAACCGAACTGCACTGTCAACCTTGACACAACACAAGGCCTAAAACCCTAACAACGAGTGAGCAAAGTGTTTTCTAAGGTACCTCAAATTGGGAAATCCCCAACTGAAGCTTTAAATGTTACACACCATTTCTCAACACCGTGTCTTAACACTCATGTTCTGAATTTTTGACTAGTAAGAAAGCAGACTAGAAACCATTTCAGGTCTCCAGCTCTGAGCTACAAAGGCCAAGCATTGCCCACAGCAAAGACAAATAATGTAATCATTGCCCAGTTAATAGGAGAGTTTGGCCTTTCACTGTCTCCTCTCAGCCAAATCACAGAATCATAGAAAAACAGGGCTGCACAAGCCCTCAGGAGGTCGTCTAGTCCAGCACCTGGCTCCGTCCTATGCCAACTGCTCCAGACAACTATTTGTCTGACCTGCAGCTAAAAACCTCAGGCTCACAAGTTACGGATATTCACTACAGCACTACTGTATTTTTCCAATATAGCTCAAATATGTTTCTGGTGAGAGAGGTTTCTTTTTTGGAAAAAAACCCCTCAAAGTCCAGGTGTGTAGCCTTCCACAAAATGTGCAAAGCAAATGGTATCCAATCCAGCCTGTGCCTTAGGAAAGCAGGAGACACTGGAACATTCCCAGGTGCTTCACTTTTTCCTGCTAGCCCTCTCTCAGGGGCACATTCCTCCCAGTTTTAAATCAGGTTTCTAAAAAATTAAATGTTTACCTAGCGACTCTAAAATATATTTTAGCTATCCCACTTAAAACATCCCACTTAAAAGCATGGATGTGGGGTCACAAAATCTAGCCAAATTTGTCCCTTTTTTATTATTATTTTTTGTTTCAGTTTTACTTTCACACATCTTGCCTATTTAGAGACAAATTCTTTAGGATTGACCGGTCTCTAGTTCTGTGTTCACACGATACCTAGGACAATGGGGCTCCAGTCTCAAAGTGGAGGCCTCCAGTAGCTATAACAACAATTTCATACCCTTCCCCACCAAGTCATCTCCATTTACTGAGGAAAAATGGTAGCTTTATAAGCATCTTCGTTCTCCACTTTTTTGTCCTTTCTAAAGGCCTGAACAATTCTGCATCTACTTCGATTTCTGACGTTATCTCCTGCAAAGTCCTAACATGGCTTGTCAATCCTACTCTGAAGCCAAGCATTCGAAAACACAATTTCTATCCGATCCCAGACCTTGTTAAGAAAAGAGAGAAAGTGCCAAGCTTTAAGCACGCAGTAGAGGTAAGGTGAGTGGGGCAGAATGCCATTTTAATTGCAGAAAATCACTGATATACCTATGGCTTTGGGCAGGGTATTCTTTCCTTATCCTGAAATCTCTTTGAGTAAATGCTTGACTAAACATTTATGTCAACAGATGTGAAAAAAAAAAAAAGGTACTAATGGTAACCATATGTGACCTACAAAAGGATGCAATACCTACCATTCTTAGTACATTTAGCCAAAGCTGTCATCAGTAGGGCAAGTGACTGCATCTAATGGACATCTCAGTTCTTACACAAACTGTCTCTTACAATACTTCTTTCTGGTCCCAACCTTAGCAGAAGCTGAGGGGTGTAAAAATACAGCAGTGTGCTTGTATAAAATATCAGGTACTTACTGAAGTGCAGACAGGTGGAAGCCACAGGAATCCTAATTAAATGAAAACTAAATCCTTAAAAACAGTTTCTTAGGATGGCAAAAAACCTCTCCACTTTCAGTATTTTTGCGGGGCGTAAGACATCTCTTCTCCTCTGCTTTGGGAGAGGTTTTGGTTTTCTCAAGACTATGTAGGTATTTAAATTCCAATTTCAGTGGGAAGTTAACAGTGCGCTGTAAATTGAACCGTGAAATGCATTGCACAAAATGCTGAATAAAGGAAGATGTGAAATAAGTGTCTCAGTTCCACTCAGACTTCAATAAATCAAATGTTTTGTTGCAGCAGGCCAGTCTTCATCCTGCCAAAATCTGCCCTCCTACTTAGGTTGAACAGTGTCTCAATCCAAGGCTACAAGCCCTGTGGATTTCAGAAGAAATTTTAAAAAAGGCCACTTAACATGAGAAAAGGATGGACAGAATCAGTATCAGTCTGCCCAATTGGTAGCTAAAGGATAACGGGCAGTGTGGTTAAAACAGGAAGAAAATATTTACACCAAGAGATCGATATGTGTTCTCATTTCAGAAGGCAGACACAGTCTGATGACTCAATCAGAGTTAAAAAGGTCAAACAAACAGTTTCTGGCTCCCTAGAAATCTCTCTCTAGCAGCAAACTATTCAGTCTAGCACACAGGGCCCAGGACGTTGGCTTATTGTACAACTTTAAATCTGAAAGACCTGACCTCCTGCAAGTCCTGGTGCCATATTTTAAGCACCAGGATGACTAAGCCTACCAAAGGGAGGATAGTTATGTGTTGGAAAGCCAACTGTCCTCCAAAAGAAGCCTCCCCAGCCTGGCTGTGAACAAGAGCTTCTCTTCACCTGTCTTGAGCCCAATGGTCAGCCCAAGGTCAAACATTCAAGTTGTTCCGCTGGAGCTAGCCTAGCCTAGGTGAAAGCTGGCAGTGTGACATGATGCTGGAACTACTCAGCAGATTTGATGAGTGGCCTACAGCAATTCCAATGAGAACATGGGAGACTGGACTGAAAGCATGCCAAGCTGTAAAGCACCCTTTCCAAGCAACTGTCCCATGCATAAACTTATCCAGTTCCACCTTAAAATGCCTACTTGGTTTCCTGTTCTCACTGTGCCTGCAGAAAGGCAGTTCTGGAGGCTTGATCCCCTGGTGATGATTAGAAATCATCTAACTAACTCCACCCAACTGCTGGAGCCAGTGGGACTGGAGAAAGGAAGAAACCATAAACAGCACTCACACTTCCCCCTGCCCTCTAGCTCAAGTTTACAAGCCCATTAAACGTACACTTTGGACTTGTGTGAGTGGACAGGAGTCATTAAAATGATGTCTGCACTGTAATTAGGAAGCATAACAGCAATGTGAGGAGGCATCCCTATTCCAGGTTTAAGCAACCTGGTTGGTGTAATGGGAACATCAGAGATGAGAGGCAGCTTGGAGAGCCAGCTAGCCATCTAAGCACATGCCCACGGTCTCCAGCAGGCTCCTGCATCCTGTGCTGAATCCCATAGCACTTTGCCTTCACTGTGCAGTAAAGTTTTTGTTTAGCTGGCTTGGTGTTCCTCCATCTCCAGCTGCACTCAGAGCAGTGAAGATCTAGCCAGAAAGCACAACCTGCTCAGATTATACAATGGCCTTTCTGTACCTTTCCTGTATGAAGTACAGCTGATGAAACAGCATGTAGGGAATTACAACCTGATTTCTCAAACTATTTAGTGCCTCCAGCTTCCACTGAAGCCCACAAGACCTAGGTGTGCTCAGTACTTCTAAGTATCAGTCCCTTCATAAAAATCTTCAGAAGTTTTTTATCAGTATCCAAGTAAACTCCACCATTCCTACCCCAGGGCTGGAACTGTTATATATCTATTGAATCGGCAGTGAGATGCAGAGCAGTGAAGTGACTTCAGTAAGTCCATAGAGACTTGGCAATGGGATAATAAGGAAAGATTTGTCAGTATTTAGTTTTCTGCTCAGTTCACTAGATATAGTGCAATCTATCTGCAAATTATTTCTTATGATTAACCAGGAAGATTTGAAACCTTCTTAGCTGACTGAAATCTTTTTGTAAGCTTTCTGGGGCTTAGCTGGGGAAAGCTGTGGTTTCTTCTGCTACAGCAGGCAACATACTTTTTCAAGATAAACACTTTCAGAGTCACATTAGCTTGGAAAGCTTAGGTTTCAAAACACCCAAGTATGGACGCACAGCTTCAACTATCCTTCCCTAAGAAACAAAGGCAATTTCAGCTCTTGTACTGAACTGTTCTATTAAGTTCATAAGAACAGTGCACCGTGATACTGCTGATGCAAAAAAAAATACAGTTTATTTAATGAGCTCCTCTCTGGCGCCTCACAGGACTTTATACCACCACCTATTAACACATGCTTCCGAGCATCTTTCAATATAAACCTCAATAATATTAGCAAAGATCTTAACAGACTACATTGAGTCTCTGCTATTTGTCCATAGATGTGGTCAAAAACTCTGCATAGGGTAAAGTGTATCACATTGTATGAATTAAATTCCTCTCTCTGGCTTCTCTGATTTATCAAGACAGAGATGCTGACTTTTGCTTTCTTTTTCTGTGTTGACTGTCACAGGTAGAAAGGTTTTGGGGGATTTTTTGGTTGGTTTTTTTTAACATAGGCTTGGGAGGCGAGCAGGAGAGAGGAGGATTAGTAAAAATGTTTGTATTTGGAGCAAGATCAATTTGCTGTTCTCTGCTGAAGACCTTGGAAACATTCCCTTTCTTGACCTGGTTTTCTTTGCATTTGGCAAATATATATAACAGTTCTGCTTTTGATCAGCTCTATTGAGCAGTTCCTACGACAATGCTGCTGCTCTGGCTTACTGGGGAAGAGGGTGTGGCACGTGCAGGCTGACGTCTTTCAAACCATATCTAAGTATAAAGAAGCTGGGGAGAGTCAGAGACAGTCACAAAAGCAGGTTCCAGTAACCGCTGGGATTTAAAGACGGATTTCATTCTCTAACTTGTGCACTTTCCTGTTGCAGACAATAGTGAAGGTAGAACCAGCTATTAGGCAACAAAAGACTTATCCTCCAGTTCTCAGAGTGAAATGCGGATTTACATCTTTCCTTGAATAATTAGCTTTTTCCCCACATGCCTAGTGGAAATGCTGCAAACAGCTCAAATGAGTCCTGGACTACTGGACAAGCAAAACATCAGCGAAAATGAAATTTCTGCCTATAGTATAGGCCAAGGATCTCCTTTGCCTGGGGAAACAGCCAGCCCCCGAAGCTGTTTTCAGAGCCCATGCTTGCCAGACTCTGGATTAACAGAATTTAATGTTGCAAGTCCCAAGATCGGTCCTCTTTCCCTAGGTAAACAGCAGGAGATGTCTGCTCTGACCGGTAAGCTCAAAACTTTATCTGCATGCTTTGAACAGCTTTTGGCAACAACATTCTTTACAAGCAATAAATTATATTGATTTCCAGCTGGCTGCAAATATACAGGGGGGGGAAAAAAAAATCAAGCAAAAATTGCGGCTTGATTTTTGTTCCATAATAATTCCAAGTGATGATGAATGACTGATGTATAGAAGTATGTTCATTTTTGTTTCGCTGTGATCTAGTCCTAAAAATCCCCCATCGTCTTCCATATGTTTATAGTAATATTCCCTCATTTCTGTTCACTGGTGTACCCTGTATAATAACATTTTACTGCTCATCTACTTTCTGAATCACATTTGGTTCTGCATCTAAGAGCAATTATTGTGTTATTTAAAACACACATGCAAATATATAAATATTATATAGATTTGCTGAAAAATTACAGGATCCTGTACTGATGCATATACTGAAAATCACCTTTACTGAATACTTCAATTCCCAGGCTGCACTTGAGCAGGTATCTTGGTGTATCATCTGGCTTTAAATAATCTGAAAGGCAATACTAACAAAGTTGTACTTCTAGAACAACTTTTCATCCAACCTCTCAAAGCACTTGAAACAGTAAGTGCTTGCATTTTTAAAACACCAGCCTAAGATAGATGTAATCCACACTTCTAAAGCTGGCCGACAGATAAAGTAAATGGTATGTTGTTGTATTTTACTCACGGCTCTTCTGTGAGTATTCAGAAATCCCAAACTTTCCACAGAGTTTAACACAAATGACAATCCAGAGCAGTTGCAGAAATCACACTCTGTTACTTAGCATTATCCTCCCGCTGCAAAGTTTCAACTTCCCTAATCAGTGAACAGAAACAAACCCATGTGACACAAGTCTACACATGTGAAACTGGTTCCTAGAGGGCATAGGTATGCTATGGAGTTATGGAGACATGTCAAGAGTTCTGACTGTCTTCAGGGGGAGGACTTAGCCAGTCAACAGAGAATTTCATCTCTGGGTAAATTTTGGCCCAGGCATCTCAGGTTGTGTGTATATTTATATGGCTTCTGTCCCTGAAGGGTTTGCTTACCCGAGTTATGCATAACCTGTTCCTTCTAGGCCACCATGTTGTTATTTAAAGCAAAAAGGGGGCAAGAATTCAAGAACTACACCTTTGCTCACCCTTGCTCCAGGGAGCATCACCCCTGGCAGACTCCTAGCATTCAGCAGCCCACACAATGAGTCTTAACACTTCAGACTCCAAGTGAATTCATACCTGGTTTGTGATAGTGTCTTGTGTGTTATCTTACATTTTCCCACTACCTAGGAAAATACAGGGACACCTCAGACACGCAAAGAAAAAAAAAATACCCTCCCTCCTCACCTCTTGCAGTGATAACAGACATCACAGTATAGAAGAATCCTAACTGGATTGATTCTAAACTCTGGAAAAATATATAATTGCATGAAAGCAGTCTCAGAAGCAAGAGATACACAAAGATCTTGGGTCAGAGGCAATATCTTTACTTAGACCAACTAAAGAGCAACAAAAAAATCCTTGCTTTGCAAGCTTTCCGGCACATACATCCTTCTTCAGGCTGAGGAGAATTTGAAGATTGTTAGAAGTCTTCCTAGGTAGAAAAGAAACTCAATTTGCATAGGGGAGGTAGAGGATGGAAGTTTACTCCTATCTGAACTTCTAATACTGCCATTGGCAGCCTAAAGAAGTTGCACCAGCTTTTGAAGCAGCAATGCAAGAAAAATTTACTGCAGCAAATACAATTCAGTCCATGGAAAAATATGACTAAGTGGAACAGTATTCTGCAGAGCATTCAAGTACACCTTCTTAAAGGCACCCTCTAGGCCTGATTCTCAGCAGCTGTAAATCAGTGCAAGTCTACTGAAATCACTACACGCTGTGTGGACTTACACAACCACAAAGAATCTGTCTCTAAGGCCCTGTGCCTCAATTCCCCTTCCTGTTCCCTACAATCCTTCCAAAATTCCTTCCTCACAACTCTCCCTGAGTTTCTTGTTTCCAGTTTTCATGCTGCTTCTGGAACAGGTTTATGATTAACAATCAGCCAGCACTCCCCCACCCTCCAAAATCCTCCCTGTTGAGTGAAGCTGAGCAACTTCTGATCTGCCATTTAACTCTCTCTGTTCAGTCCTTTCTCCTGGATCCCCTCACCTCCCAGTCAGAGATGTCAGGTTATTTTAGTATTTCTCACCAGTTGTGAGGCCCTCTTCACTTACAGAAATAACTTAAAGCAAGTCCTTAGATGACAAATTATTAACAATTCAGAGCCAAGGACCACATAATTTAAAATGGGAACTTTTCCTCTCAAAAACAAATGGCTTTAGATACACACCCAAGCCTGCCTGATGCTCTCTTGATCATTTGATGGCTCTTAGCATTTCACTACCTTGTAGCAATCTTTAAGTCCCATATTCTGGTTTTTCTAGACCCTGGGCTTAGCACGGACCCCCCTCAGAGGCAGTATGTAGGTGTGAGGGTAAGACTGCCCGTGCGGGAACTTCTGCGAAAGATTCGCCTTTCCAAAGGCATGGACCCCAATGACACCAAGGTAAGAATCCCTTGGAAATGGGAAAGTCAGCATGGACA